TGTAAGCCATGATGGGCTTGTAACAGGCAAATCGTATTTAACTAACCTAATTCTTTGATATAATAGAAGATTAGGGGCAAGCTGTTGAGGTAGTGTACATGGACTTCCAAAAGCCAATTTAAAGATGTGCTACACAAGGACATGTAAACAAAGCTAGAGCTCATGGGGGGAAAAGGCACCGGGATGACATGGATACCAAATTGGCTGAATAAAAGAGAACAGAACAGTAATTAATAGAATTTTTCCATAAGACCATAAGATGTAGAATCAGAAGTAGACCATTCAGCCCATCAAGTCTGATGCAACAATAAATGAAATCATAGGTGGCAATGTAATATCTGGTTGGAAAGATTTTCATAAAAAGAGCAGTGTAAATTAGATCTATTAGAGATTGATTGAATGCTCAACAGTACAGAAGGTACCAGAGACTTGGATGGATTGCAGAGCTCCAAGCGTCTGATTGCGTAAGATTTTGCTTCTAAGCATTATGATTTCCATGCAATGGCTAACCTTGTGGTAGGAAGAAACAGGAATAGGTTACGAACTATGACGGTCCTGGAATTGGTGCTGAACTACGTTATTTTACTTTCAAGGTGAGAGTAAGTACTTTATAGATGCTCACTAGCCATTTTCCAGTGTATTTTAGGAAAATGCTCATCATTTAATATTCTGGAGTCATCTCACGCTGATGCAAAAGTGCTTGAAAAAGTGATTGAAACATGTTCATATTTATTGCTAAGATTGAGACCATCTGTTCAGCTGCTTCCTCTGAGTTCCTCCCTTTCTGTAATTCGCCAGGCCAATTTTCACCGAAGATTCCAATACCCGAGCTGTGAGCTTGCATCTTTCTTTTACCTCTCCTGTCTCCCCGCATTGTGCTCATGTTCACAAGGGTGACTGCTTGCTTTCTCTGTAATTTTAATAATTGAATTTACTTTCTTGGCCCCAACGTTGCTGATATGATTAGAATTTCCCTTTCTTCAGGTTCTGTTCCTGTCCTTCAATTTTGTTGTTAAAGCCCCTTTTTGCTTTTTAAAAAAAAAGCACACTCAAATTATTTTGTAAACTACCATGTGATGATCTCAATGTTCCTTTCTTCTCAATTCCTTGAACCTGTTGCTGCCTCCCAAAGCTTTCTCCGTGTTTTTGAATCACTGTAATCTTATCCCTCCTTATCTGTAATCTCCAAGGTACTTGCAACCCTCCAAGATACTTGCGTTCTTTCATTCTGGCATATTTTTCTTACCCTTTATCATCACTGCAGCGTTGGCCGATCTGCCTCTACGAGCAGAGACCTTAAACTCTGGACTACTTTGGCTTTGGCTTTGCCTTTGCACCTCCTCAGTTCCTATCTCCTTTTTTAAGATGCTTGTTAAATCCTACTTTTTCAACTAGAGATAACAAGGTGTAGAGCTGGATGAACACAGCAGGTCAAGCAGCATCAGAGGAGCAGGAAAGCTGACGTTTTGGGCCTAGACCTTTTGATCATCTGCCCTAATGTCTCCTCATGTGGCTCAGTGTTGATTTTTGTTTGATAACGTCCTGTTAAGTGCTTTGAACTGCTTTATTGATTTTTAAAAAAGCCTATTTAAAATGTGTAACTTCATATAGCAGGAAATGCCAATGCAGTTCCACACACAACTCTAGCAATCTTATTGCATTCACTTTTGAAGCATTGTGTATCTGCAGGTGGAGGTGGTGTCAGTTCACACATTTCTTTGATAAAATAAATGCTTTCATTAAACAAAGTGCTATGGTATAGTTAGCGCGTGCGTAACAGGAGTGGAAATTTAAACTGGATCTTTATTTTAAAAAAAACCTGAAGTACTATTCATTAATTGCGTATTGAATGTTGAATTTCAAGAGCTGGATTATTTTAAAGTGTAATTTTCCTTTTCGGTTTTTCTGTTAAGTCTGTGGTTTTGCACAACCACAGCATTTTCATGTGTTTCTTTAGTTTCACAACCTCTTTCCTTCACCAGCTCCGCTACAGTATTATTTTCACTTTTAGGTGACTGGATGAAATTGAGAGCTCAAACTGATTTATGAACATATGATTGACAGTTGCCACAGAGAGATGCAGATTACTCACCCCTTTACGCCACCATGCTACAGAGTCTGCAAAATTGACCTTGAATTTTTAACGATAAACACCTCCTCGAACACTGGCTAATTGATATTGAAATTAAATAGAAAAACAATTAATCCTTTACACTATGAGCAAGTATCTAACACACTGCCTACAGTGTGCAAGACATTTCCTGTGCTGTTTTGGAGTAACACATCATTGAGCCAACCATATCCGTTGAAGCTCGTTCCAAGGGTTGCTGAAGGCATGCATTTTGAAGCTATTTACTGTGAGTTAGGTACTTAGTTGTTGGTTTGTTCTGCATTAGTGCTGAGTTAATTATTTAATTTGTATGTTCACTTTGCTGCTACTTGAAACTGTAAATTTGTTTATACAAGAATATGAAAAAAATGGTGAGAAAATGTCTTTTTGCACTGCTTCGCCAACTCTGCTATTGTGCTTAAATTGTATTGACTTTTTTTCCATTGCCCTATAAGTCCATTTTAATGACTCAAGATTGTAGATTTTGTTTGCACCTTTGACTCAATGCCTCGTTCTAACTTGTTCCAAAACTACTTTTTTTAGTATGGATAAACACGGATTGTAATAAGTTCAAAACCAGAGCCAGAAGAACATTAGGCACTTCCAGATAAGAACAATTGTTGAATTATTTTAAATTTGTCCTGTTTGCAGAACTGATTTTGCAATATTTTCCAATGTTGCAACAAGTTCTCTCACAGGATTTCATTTATATTTTGATAGCTGCCTTGCATTCTTCTGATGCCATTGCAATCATTTTTTAAAATAACCGGAATCTACAGATAAGGTGAAATACAGACAAGTGCAATCAAAGAGACTAGTAGAAATTTTTCTAAAAGAAGGCAAAAGACTTTGTTTTCCACTCTAACAGATTTTTAAAAAAACTGGTAACAGATATCTATTGCTTTAAATAAACAGCACCTGTAATACTTGTGATGTGTAACTTGAACTCTGAAGGACAAAAGTGTAGAAGTGTTTGCATCTAAAAGAAACTATGCAGGTTAATAAATGATATATGCAGAATGTCAAAATTAAAGGCAACATGATTGATCTGCTTAGGTTGACAGAAGATTGGCTGCAGTTGGCTAAGATATACTTTAATCCATTTCAATTGTTCAGAGGATCAGGTGAAAATATTCTTGCTGATCACGATCGGAAGATGATCCAATTAAAAATAGAAATTATACATTAAGAGAATTTTAACAATATGTCTAAGATTTTAAAAGCAAAATCAGACAGTCATGAACTGCCTCTGATTTAGTTGTATTGAAATGTTGAATTGTATAACTTGACACAATGCAGTTTTTAAAATAGAATTATTTGACTGTTGCTTTGGGTTGTAGCATTGTCTGTTATCCAGCTTCAGTCTCCAGCATAACAAGGTGTAGAGCTGGATGAACACAGCAGGTCAAGCAGCATCAGAGGAGCAGGAAAGCTGACGTTTCGGGTCTGGACCCTTCTTCAGAAATGAGGGAGGGGAAGAGGGCTCTGAAATAAATAGATAGGGGAAGGTGATGATAGAAGGTGGATAGAGGAGTAGATAGATGGAGAGACCTGGAGGTGATCTGTCTGTCTTTTCTCCACCTATCTGCTCGTTTATCCACCTTCTATATCGCCTCCCCCTCTCTCTATTTATTTCAGAGCCTCTTTCCCCTCCCTCATTTCTGAAGAAGGATCCAGACCCGCTTTCCTGCATCAGCTTTCCTGCTCCTCTGATGCTGCCTGGCCTGCTGTGTTCATCCAGCTCTTCACCTTGTTATCTCAGACTCCAGCATCGGCAGTTCCTACTATCTCTCAATCTCCAGCATCCTGCTTTCAGCTTTTGCTATTGGTTTCCTTTCAATTCAATTTTTATTTCAAATAACACTGATAACGTCATATTGTAGGGGTGATAGCGTGCATTTTTAAAGTGCAGGTTAATGCCTGAAACTGCATGTTTCAGTCAGTATTTTTTTAAACAATATGCAGAAAGTAGGTTTCTGGGCTGATTTAGAAAGCTAGAATCCAGTTCTGGGAACTTTAATGCAGTTTAGGAGATCTGAAATGTGACCTACATGAAATTTTGTTTTATTGGCCCAATATAATTTTTTCCTCTTTAAGTGGAACTTCAGACCTTTCGAGATTATGATTCAGATGGTGACATTCAGAAGTTGATTTCTTTGGAGATGTCAAAGTAAGCATGTGTGCCTAGAATAGTGACTTAAGAATTCCTTAAGCTAAATGTCCTCTTTATTTTAATCACTTTTGTACTGACTGATATATTTAACCATGTTCTTAAGGAGTTATATGTGCACTGCAAGAGTAACATTCAAAATTTGATTACTATATGTCTTTTTACATTGGTTACAGTTGAGAAAAGATTGCATCGTCAGTAAGAAGGTTTTACAAGATGACAGTCTTCTAGCAATAGCAAAGCAATTTTAATCAGTGAATAACTAGGGAGGCTCAAGGTCCAATTTCTGGTAGCTGTTCAGCTGTTCTCAGTTAGTGTGTCTTTAGTGGTGCCTGTACATTTCTGGTTTAGAGAAGGAAGTCAAAGTTCTGATATTGATCATTATCTAGTACTCATGGAGACATCAGGGTGAAGACTGGATCAAGCATAGCTGTGATCTGGCACCCCTGCAGTCAACACGCCATTACTAGCAGATAACTGCTGCCTGAGGAACTTTACCCCAGGAAGAAGTGAAGTCATTTGAGGAAGAAAGAACAAAGGTTGGTGAGAAGAGGGAAATAATTATACTTATTTCATGAATGCCTGACCAATAATTGTAATAAATAATTTCAACAGCTTAATAGTATGTTTTTCTAAATTAAGTATTTGTGCATTACTTTTTTAAAAATTCTAATCTTAATTTAGGTTCTCTTTTCTCCCCTTGCTATGCCCAACCCACAGGCCTGCATTTTGGAGCCACCCTTCATCAAAGTTTCAGGAAGATTTGCAGGACATGCAAGTGTGACATCAGTTGTGACAAGCTCATTTAATGCGTACCTATGTTTTCAACCATTTGGATCATCACGTTTTTTCCCCATGCTTGAAATGACTGACTAACTATGCGCATTTGTTTCTGAGTTCTTGGATATTTCCATCTTTTGACAAATCTAAAACTTCCACGTGATGAGAAGGTTGAATATGCCATCTGTAGTATTGTGCCTGGTTCTTTATCTACTTTCGGCTGCGTGGTCAGGCCCTGTTATTCCAAGGATGTTGTGGCAATATGAAGGTAAGATTCATAATTTCACATTCTCTTAAAAAAGACATGTAATGTTAGTTTGAATTCTTTAGTGCCCAGAAGTTGTGTAATGCTAAGAAAAGTTGTTTTTTTCAAAAAGGCTTTGGAGGTCTGGAGTCACTCTGTTGTAAAATTTGTGTGATTTATTTTAGAAAGGTAAAATCTTTCAATCGCCTAGATATTTATTGACAATTTTCCATTATGTATTTTTTAAAATTTGTTCATGTTCCCTTTTATTTTCATATATTTAAGTTTCCTTTCCACCTCCTGTCAGTATCTTTTTTTTAGTGGGTGAGAATATTGGTGTGGTAGATGGACTTAGTTAAAAGTTCATCTACTGTCTTGAACTTACCACAATAAGTTGCCAGTTCTGTAACTTTGCAGTCACTATTTTTAAAGGTATATTTAAAAAAATTGATTTTGGAAATGTGGAATCATTTACCAGGTGTTGGGCCAAACATTGTCATAAAGGACAGTTAAAGACTGGCTGACTTGATTAGGACTATGAGAGGGGATGAACTTCGATGAGCTAAAGGATTTTTCTTCCCATCCTTGCTTTTCTTTACATTCTCCTTCAAAGTGGAATGAACGTAATCTGTCGATTCTTAAATCTTGCTCTAATCTGAGCTAAGGACAGTGCTGGAAATTAGTGCTGGGAAATGATGTTCTTCCTCTTTCAGGCACCCAGAGTTGGTATCAAACACTGCTAAATCAAATATAACCCATCCACAAGCTGACCGTTGTTCCCTGGCCTGACAATGTACCTCAACTCCAACCTCAGAAGATTACCTATCATATCTGTACAAAATTTATTTTTCCGTTTCCCTCAATAGTCTTTTTATAGCCTGTCTCTGTGGCAGAGCTAGTAGGAACTGCAGATGCTGGAGTCAGAGACAATCGCAGTGTGGAGCTGGAGGAACACAGCAGGCCAGGCAGCATCAGAGGAGTAGGAAAGTTGACGTTTCCAATCAGGACCCTTCTTCAGAAATGGGGCTGGGGAAGTGAGCCCAGGAATAAATAGAGAGAGTCCATCTTCTCTCCCAACTATCTGCCCCACCCATCCCACTGACCAATCCCCACCACTCCCTACCTGCACTCACCTATCACCATCCCACTTACCTTCCCAAGCCCCATCCCTCCTTTCTATTTATTTCCCAGTTCCCTTCCCCCTCCCTATTTCTGAAGAAGGGTCTCAACTTGAAACGTCAACTTTCCTACTCCTCTGATGCTGCCTGGCCTGCTGTGTTCCGCCAGTTCCACACTGCATTTGTTTCTATGGTAGAGGTGCAATGTCACTGGACTAGTAATGCAGAGACTAGTAGTCTAGAAGTAAAAATTAGCTAATGTCAACTGGGAACCATTGTAAAAAACATCTGATTCACTTCATGTGAAAGGAAATTGGCCATTCCTGTCTGGTCTGGCCTACATGTGACTCCAGACTCTCAGCAATGTGGTTGACTCTTGATTGGCCTTGGAAATGGCATAGAAAATCATTCCATTCAAGGGAAACTTGCATGGGCAATAAATGCCAGTCTTGCCAGTGACGCCCACATGCTATACAAGAATAGTTATTTAAAAAAATCCAACTAGGTGTCATTGATGGCCAGCAGAAAACTGTCCCTAAAATGTTTATTTGGACAGAATTGAGTCCTCCCAAACAAAAACCATGTAGTTAACAGTTTTGATTTGATTAATTATTGTCACATGTACTGAGATACAGTGAAAAGTATTGTACTGAATGTAAACTATACGTAAGTACATCAGGGTGATAGAATGCAGGATATAGTGTTACAGCTGCAGAAAAAGATCCACTCCAATAAATGAGCAGTCCCTTCATAAGTCTGATAATAGCGGGGAATAAGCTGTTCTTAAATCTGGTGGTACATGTTTTCAAACTTTTGTATCTTCTGCCTGGTGGAAGAGAGCGTAACTGGGCTGTGAGGGGTCTTTGACTATGTTGGCCGCTTTCCCGAGGCAGCGGGATTTGTCAACGGAGTTAAAGGGAGGAAGGCTGGTTTTTGTGATGGATTAGGCTGTACTCCCAACTCTATAATTTCTTGTGGTCTTGGACAGAGCAGTTGCCACACCAAACTGTGATGCACCTGGATTTGATACTTTCTTTGGTGCATCTATAAAAATTGGTAATGCTGAATTTCCTGACCCTTCTGAGGAAGTGATGATGTTGGTGTCCTTTCTTCACTGTAGCATCGATGTGGAGACATTCTTCCCATTAGTTTGTGTTGGTATTAAAACTAGTTCGCTCTCACAGTGAGACTAGCCAAAGGCTTTTCCCCTCTAGACATTTTGTTCAGTATAACAGGTTGGAAACTTTTCTGTGGTTCACCCCACCACTTCCCATTTGGCAACCTTTAACATTTCAGGTCAATTTGAAGAACTGATTCTAATCATGCTGGGCTAGAGCATCTTCCACTGTAACTATTCCATGCTGCAAAGTTACAAATATGTGAACCAGGAGTAAGCCATTTGGCCCCTCTTCTAAATTAATCATGGCTGATTCCTACCTATCCCCAATAACCTTTTTTGTAATGGGACCTCTAGCACCATGTGCCAGCTATGAGAGAGGGTCGTAAGAAGGAAATGCAATCATCCCTGTGGATTCTTTGGAGTGAGGAGTATTTTTGTCAGTCTGGTACAGAGAGAGAGCGAGACAAAGGATTCCTTAACCAAGATGTGGTGTTAATCCAATATAAATGCTCTGTTTTCATTTGTTTGTAAAGATTGTGCTGCAATGGACCTTTGGGCAGTCTGCGTGCTTAAGTCTCTCATTAGTGAATGGACTTGTTAGCAATAGGCAGCATGGGTTTATACAGGGAATGTAATACCTCACCAATTTGTTTGAGTTTTTTGAGACAGTGATAAGAATGAGGCAGTGGATGTTGTCTACAAGGACTTTGATAAGGCATTAGATAAGGTATCTTATTGAAGGCTGGTACAAAAAGTAAGTCTACAGGAATCTGGGGGTGAGCTGGTTAGATGGATACAGAACTGGCTTGATCATCAAGAGTAGTGGTAGAAGGGTGTTCTTCCAAATGGAGATCAGTAAGTAGTGGTGTTCACAGCAATCAGTGCTGGGACCTTTTGTTGTTGTTTGTAAATTGTACAAATGATCTGGAGGAAAATGTAGGTGTCTGATTAGTGAGTTTGCGGATGATATCAAAATTTATTTAGTTACAGAATGGGGGATAGGATTGTCAACGGATACAGCGGGATATAGATGGATTGCAGATTTGGCCAGATGGAGTGTAATCCAGATAAACACGAGGTGTTGCATTTTGGAAGATAAAATTCGGGTGCGAGTTATCCAAAAAATGGCAGACCCCTTCGGAATATTATCATACAGAGTGATCTGGGTGTACAGATCCACAGATCCCTGAAAGTGGCAACAGATGTGGATAAGGTGGTCAAGAAGACATACAGCGTGCTTGCTTTCATTGGCCTGGACATTGAATATAAAAGTTGGCAAGTTATCTTACTCAGAGATAGTAAGAACTGCTGATGCTGGAGTCAAAGATACCACAGTGTGGAGCTGGAGGAACACAGCAGGCCAGACAGCATCAGAGGAGCAGGAAGGCTGAAGAAGTGTCCCGAACCGAAATATCAAAAGAAGGGTCCCAGCCCAACGTCAACTTTCCTGCTCCTCTGATGCTGCCTGGCCTGCTCTATACCTCCAGCTCCACACTGTTATCAAGTTATGTTACAGCTGCACAAAATTTTAGTTAGGCCACATTTGGTATATTGCATAAGTTCTGGTTACCACACTACCAGAAGGACATGGATGCTTTGGAAAGTGTTCAGAGAACATTTACCAGGATGTTGCCTGGTCTGAAGGGTTTCAGTTATGAGGAGAATTTGGATAAACTTGGATTGTTTTCACTGGAAAGATAGAGGGTAAGGGGCAACCTGACAGAGGTCTACAAAATTTGAGAGGCGTAGATGGAGTGATAGCCAGATACTCTTTCCCAGGATAGAAAGCTCAACTACAAGAGGGCACAGTTTTAAGGTGAAAGGGGGCAAGTTTAGGAGAGAAGTGCAGGAAAAATTTTCCACACAGAGAATGGTGAGTGCCTGGAATGCACTGTCAATGGAGGTTGTGGAAGCAGGCACGTTAGTAACATTTAAGGCGTATCTTGATAGACACATGAACGGAAGGCACACATGGATAGAAACCATGCATGGGCAACAAATAGCTGATCTAAATGGAATTGGCTCAGGCTTGGTGGACCGAAGAGCCTGATCCTGTACTGTATTGTGTTGTATTACATTTTGTCCAAACATGGAAACTGGGAGTATGGCTTGGCGGCAGCACGGTGGCTCAGTGGTTAGCACTGCTGCCTCCCAGCACTAGGGACCTGGGTTCAATTTTAGCCTTGGGTGACTGTCTGTGTTGAGTTTGCACATTCTCTCCGTTTCCGCATGGATTTCCACCAGGTACCCTGGTTTCCTCCCACAACCCAAAGATTACAACCCAAGTTTAGGGTGGATGGCTAAGCTAACTGCCCCATAGTGTCCAGGGATGTGCAGGCCAAGTGGATTTAACCATGGTGAATTCAGGGTTACAGGGATAGGTTTAGGGTGGCACTGGTGGGTCTGGGTGGGATGCTTGTTGGATGATCGCTACTGACTCAATAGACTATTTGCTTCCTTGAGCCTGCTACACTAGTCAGTATGATTGTAGTTGATCCTCTATCATAACACCATATTCCTACTTTCACTCCATACTATTTGATGCCTTTTAATATGTAAAACATTATCTATCTCTGTCTTGAATATACACAGTGACCCGGCCTCCACTCTCTTCTGTGGTTGCAAATCCCGCAGGTTGACTAACCTGATTGAAGAAATATTTCCTCATCTCCACGTGATGGCCTAGTGGTATTTTCACTAGGCTATTAGTCCAGAAAACCAGAAAATGTTCTGGAGACCCATGATCAAATCCTATCATGGCAGTTGTTGGAATTTGAATTAAATAA